TTTGTGGCGTTATTTTTATATCTATAAATAGCTAAAAAATTGCTATTTTGATTTTTGTTTTGGTCAGACATAAATTGACGGTATAGGGGCTTTTTTCGTGCTACCGATAAAATTCCGGATATTTATGTCGCGGACTGTATGTAATAATTTTGAGAATATGTGAGAAAGTTTGAAAATAAAAGTCCCTGGATCTTCGCTAACAATTTTAATTTGCCGATTCAGATTTCCATTAGTACCCTAAACGTTTTTTATTTACAATACATTGAGCTAAGATAAATTACATGGTGTAGGACTAGCCCTGGGTATATGATGCCTTTTTATGATTGTTGACTATTATACATGATTATTTTTTCAAATGATATTTCTCTATTCTAGCTTGAGACAAAGGAGACGTATTCACGTTACATGCTATGTTATATGATAATTGTGAAGACTTTTCACACTTCCAACCAATAGAAGCGGGATCTACTGGTTAATCATATGATAAATTTTAATTTCAATGACGTACTCAGAAAAATCTCAGCAAGAATTTTCTTGATATCAACTGTGCATCTAATTTTAGTTTCTTTTGCATAAGCCACCCACGAGATTCGAAAAAAAAGAAACGAAATATATATGAATATTTTTTCTTCATAATTTCTCTAGTCTAAGTCACAATCACGAACTTGAGTTTATTGCTTGAAGTGTTGCAGGTAAGATAATATTCTAACTTATCTTGAGATAGCAACTTCACTAATTCAGGATCATAAGGGAACTGATTCCCATTTTTGCAGTACCATGAGCCATGTAATTCATAATTTCCATGTTTTCTATCACAAATAGGGCATGATGAACTCCATGGTTGGGTGATGTAAAATTATAATTATCAATCCCTCTAAAACTATTTCAGAATTTCAAGTATAGAAAGTGCTCTAAGACAGATTTGATAATTAATTCTGAATTGGATCTGGCTTCAAAAGTGCTGGGCTTGAAATCAGAGGTCAGAAGCTTTGCTGACATATTTATCACAGCTTCTGATAATTGCTATGGCTCATTTCCAGTTTCTTTTTTATATCTTTTGTATAAATTGAAACGAATCTTATTTGTCAAAATGCTTGGTAACCCATTTAATTTGATATGCTAATCCAGATATTCAGAGGTTAATATTTTATCGGACTTAGTCATGTTGCCTTTTTATATGATTACAAATCAATTCAAATTAGATAATAGTTGACATAAATTAGTTTATAAAAAAATAGTTTCTCAAGAGAAACGCAAATATAGGGAACGCCTATGGCCAAAATAGCCAGATTATGCAGTTATCTCAATTTCAAGCTGTTCACATTTAATAAAGTAAGATTCAGCTTTATACCTACCTTCTATTTCTTCATCATCATAATCTAATTTACATAATGGGCAGATGGTCAATTCTAGAAGGATCCCTTCGCATGTTCTCTCATCAGTAATCCCATAATAATCAAAATTTTCACTACTACATTTTCTATATAGATTAGGATATTAATCCAATATCTTGTTATGAAAATAGGATCAGTCATAAGTTAGATTAGTAATAGGAATTTGTGGATGTGATGCAAGTGAAATATTTACTCCATACTTTAAAGATGTATTAAGTGCTTGTTTCTCTGATGTGTTAGAAATATGTGACAACTCAGAATTTTTCTTATCACTTCCTAAGCCGAGATCAGGATGTAACAATTCAGAATTTTTCTCATCACTTAGCAAAGTGTCTTTCGGCTAAGCACAAGTGGATAATTCTATCTTAATGCTATAGTCAACTGGCATATTATCTATGATATATTGAATGTCTTCATACGTCATTTTTGAAATACTACTAACAGAGAATGAATGTATCTGATAAATTTTATCCATGTCTATTGTATCAAAAAGCTTCTAAAGTTTCTTAGCCTGCTTGATTCTTTTCCATAAAAGTGTATCAGAAATATCTGCAGAAAGCTGAGCTCTAACTTCCATATTTAAAATTCTACTGATAGCATTGAATTCTGAATTAACTTGTTTTTCAGACACTATTTCACTTCGTCTCTGAATAAGAATTTTTTCAAATTAACAGTAATATATAATAGCTTCTTAGACCGTATGATTAGCAAAATTCTCAGTATTAAAAAATTTTTTATACAAAAGAGAAAAGGTTATTCCCATTTCTACTTTACTGAAACCCTATATTTTTAAACAATAGCTAAATCACATTGTTATCATGTTATTAACCCATTGTTATTTGCATTATTATTAAGTGTGATACTATGCATTATAGAAATATAACACTTTATAGTCATCATATTGATTTAATCTATTGTAACATTGAATACACATTGATGTATATATATAATCATAATGTATATTAAATTATTGTAATCATATGATTTTTTTATTAATATAAAGTTTTAGTTACATTATTATTAATATATGATAAATTCATAAAATCTGATTTAACTATTAACATTGTAAATAAAAAAATCTTTAAATATGATAAAATTAACAATAATAGTGTTCTAATTCAAAACAATGAAATAAATGACTTATACCTTACATATACAGTAGAAACTGCACGAAAGTCTTATAGAATTTGTAAAGTTCACAATGGTTTCTTTATTTTCTTGATACCTATTAAGTTTAATTATCTTCACTTGCATTAACTGTTATAGTTGAAACTGAATTAAAGAAAGTGATTATTGATAAAGAACTAAAAGATAATATAATTAACGACTTTTTTTGTTTATCTTTTGCTAAAAAATGACGTTTAACTATAAATAAATATGAGAACAGTATTATCGAAAGCTAAGACAGACAATGTATCTTTTAAATCATCATATAATTTTTCTTTTGTAGTATTTTCCATTTCTGTATTTAAAGTGAATTCAAATAAAAAAATCAATAAAACTAAAAAAAAATTGTTATAAGTGATATTGAGTATACATCACTAATGCATATATTGTTTCCAAGATGCTATATTCATCACAATTGTTATAGAACTTTGCATTCTATTTTAAAAATAACTAATCCTTCTCAAATTGCTGTATAGTAAATTCGTTAATGTAATATTGATTATTTGATAAATCATGCTGAGATAAAGTGCATGTAGAATGACAACGATGCACAAAATGAACTCTCAGTCTGTTATTAATAATACTTATTGGAAAGACTCGATACTATCGAATATTTTCAGCTATTTGTATTTCGTAAACTGAACACTGGAGTACTGAATCAACGATAGGCTTTTTCGTAACCAATTGACCCAAACAAATGCATATATCAAACCATCATTATACATATAAGTAAATAACGCCTTTACTATAGCATATGAATTCCCGTTTTCTTCTTGAATCTGCACTATATCACCAGAATGTAGATTTAAACACGAATCAAATTTACTATCATCATCCAAATGATATAAAATAATTTTTTGTAAAATTTTACGCGTCTATATATTATAGCGGCCTTTTTTTGCATATAAACATATGCAATTATAATATCGTGAGTAAACGTAAGATTGTCATCAAGATGGATAGGTAAAGTAAGTTGTTGAATTTCATTTTTCGAAAATTGTTTGTATGCTTTGATATCAATTATCCTGTCATCATACGATACTATATTTGTACCTGTTGTAATGTAAAAATAATTATTATAAGTAATATAATAAATAATTATAAAGAATACTTACTAATATCAGTATTTATATCATCCTTCTGAATATCTTATGTCATATACCAATCAGATAATATAGGGTTAAGTAATGGATCTATGATAAGCTTTAAAAATCCATGTTTAATATTAAGAAAATGATTATCTTTACCACCATCTATCAAATAATGCATTGATTGAAGTATATTGTGCTAACGGATAAGATCAAGCTCAATGTTCTTTCAGTTCATTTTAGAAACTAAATTCTTAAATGTTTTATGAACTATTTCTTTTATCCTAACGGCAGTATTTATAAGTGTTCCAAAATTACGCATATTTTGAATATGATGTCAATTGATGTAAAGATTAAATAGGTTTGTGAAATCGTCTGAAAAAAGTTAGTATGATAAAAATCTAATTAAATATTGATATTATATGTGATATATTTGATTCTATATGCATTAAAAATCATGGAATTAACTAACATATATTGTTTTTAGATATTGTTTATTACCTTTAACAAGATAATGTGTTCAACTTTTAGTGCCTTTTCTAATTCTTCATATTTTTGTTCTGTAAATTCAAAACTGAAACTGAAACTTAAACGAGATGCCTTTGAAACAGCTACCCAACAGTTAATAACTGTATTTATAATTTGTAAAGGTAATGGAGTCCTTGGACGCAGATTTGTTGAGTCTGTAAGTCGTATCTGAAGTGAAACTAATTTAGAATTCTTGATATGAGATACGCCTAATGAATGACGTAATAAAAATGGCATTAACATTACTAATCGAAGATGATCTGAAAACATAAAACTGTCATAATATTTTATTGGGTTAGGAAGGCGAGACCAACTGGTTGGGACTTCAAAATTCTTTCAGTAATCTAAAAATATAACTTCTCCTGATGGTTTTAATATTGTGAAAATGCATTCCATTAGTCTATGTATTTTTCCAGTGACAGCGTGATATATATTTTGAGGAGTTTATAAATAATGATTCTATATTAATTAGTTCAAAATATCAGGATGCGTTCTTAAACCATATTCAGTACAATATTCACTTATCATTTTTTGTGATGCTCTTTGTTGTACTAAAATTTTCAATTTTTTTATTTTTTCATCTGTGTGATAATGATACCTTGCATTTAATTTGACATCAAAAGTGAAGTCATTTAATCATCCTTTGGGTACTAGATAACTTCTACACCCTTGATTACTACTATGCTGCTTTGTGTCTGCAAGATCATTCCCTTGAGGCAAATCGACTGTAATAACATCTAATGCTGCAATTACCCATATATCTTACCTATTAATTGTCATTAAATCCCCTTTTTCCAGAAATTTAATTTCATTTACAATTGGTTTCATTATGCTGTCAAAATCTCCGTCAAATAGAACAAAGCTCAAAACAAAATGGTTTCTAAGTTGTTTCTGTTGATGTAAAGGCATATTACAAAATTGAAGGTATATTCTACCTAATGAATGGTATACATTGCGAAAGATTCTGAAATCGTCATAATAAATATCTAACATTATTTTCAAAGTAGGTATATCTCGAGGAGCCAAGTTTGGAATTTGAGTATATTCAACTGGATGTTGATGCCAAAATTTGATATCTCTCATTCTCCATCAATCTTTATGACTATATAAGATTTCCTTAACATAAAATTGATAACAATTCGTTAATTTTGGAATGTCTTGAAGCTAGACTGAAACTGGTCTAATAATGTTACGTGAATCAATCAGAGATGATGTTTCACTTAGCCATAATTCTTCATTCTGAGATTGTTCTATCCTTATTGAACTTGCAAAAATTCTCAGCAATTCAAAGCCATAATAAAGGAATTGAATTTTAATTTAATACCGCTTGAGGTTGAAACTATTACTATAATCCTTCTAATTCTTATCCCTTTGTCTTTATATTTAATAAAAGTTCCTATTGTATATAATACTAAATATGATTCATTAGTTGTGATTCCTAAAACATTATCATCTAAAATTAAGCATTACCTTGATTTATCCATATTAATGATTGACTGAAGAGAGCGATTCTTGCCATATGCTACTGTGCCAAAACTCTGATTTTATTTCAGCTTCAATACTAGGTCTAAAATATATCTGTAATCGTAATTTTTTATTACTTAAACTCTTCTTATATGTTCAGTTACAGATATAGTATAAGCATCTTTAAAAGTAGTCGAGGTTGATGGAGTTTTTATGTTGTTAATAGGAATACTGTGACTCTTTATTGTCTGAAGTGGAAGCCAGTTATAGCAGTCTCAGTCATCATACATTTTTGATTACATGCTCAGGTTAGAAGTCAGGATGTTGTAATATATATATAAAATCATCATATACTTTTGTAGCTAATATTATGTTAATTTAAAAAAAAATGTTTATGTGAAGACGTACATATTTTAAAATTTGTTTACTTACTGATCATGTGTTTTGTAATCCAAATAAAAAACACTATTTCTGTAAAATTCTTGAAGTAAAGACCATATTCTCCAATCATTAGTATGAATTGGTTACATCCTCTATTATAGTTTGAATAAACTCATTTACTCTTTCTGTTTGTTATGATATTGATTGATCACTATCACTCGTTGTACTTGAGGATGTTGTAAATTCAGGTTCTTGACTATTATTGCTTATTGTACTTGAAGTTATTGTAAAACTGGATTCAAAATTACGAAATTCTACAGGAATTTTGAAAGTTGAATGCTCCTACCTTTCGTCTATTAAAACATTTTCACTACTGTTGCTATCACTATATAATAAAAGTTCATTAATACTTTATAAATTAGAACATATTTCTGATATTTCTGTTGATGAACTGTTTCTTTTAATGTTTCTTGATATAATGTGATTTTGAATAACAATCTTTTTCTTAGAAGTTTGTTTGATACGTATTTGTTTTATCTTATATAAATCAAAGAAAAAAAATGTTGATCACTAAAAAGTTGATTACTAAAATAAATACCCCTCTTTCATATATCAAAGCAATTTAGAATTTTCTAATGCGGTAATGGTTTTTTATCGATCAACAACATGATTAAGTAATTGAATCAAAACTTATAAAAATACCAAACTATTATTATATAAGCGTGGTTTTATTTTCCTATTTTATTATTTCATGATTTTTCCTATGGCTTAGCCTTGCATGATTATTACGACATAATTACAAGCTCTTAAACTTAAAATTCCTTATTATTCCTTTGTATCAATTTTAAATGTAAAATTTTCAGACTCAAAAATTTTAGTGACGTAGCAATTGGCAATTCTGATATTTATTATTTATATCCATTTACGATACATAATATATATATAATATATTGTATAAAATAGTCCATTTTTCATTTTTCATAACATTATAAAAAAATTTATAACCAATTAAGGTTTATCTTAAATAAATGTAAAAAAAGTTTCATAACGATGACTACCATATTATATATATACATATACAATTCCCGGCGAAAAAAATGGCGGAAACATATTTCGACGGTATGTACAAACTTTATTTTAATGTATATTTTTTTTTTTATTTTTTATAAGAACAATACTAACGACAACTTTTATATGATTAATTAATATTTGGTGTGTTCTCCTTCAGCATTGATACAT